TTTTTTATTTAATAGAAATTAATTAAATGAGTAAGAAAATGTAAAGAAAGAAAGTTGGAAATAAGTGGAACTAAAAAATGCATGGGGTAGGAATCAGTTCATCAATGAACAACCAGGATTTAGACGTGACCTGTTCTAAAAAATCCATGTAATGGTCGCGATCTGTTCTAAACATCATCGTAAACATACATGAATACACAAGATTAGTTAATAATGCATAAAATAGAAGTTTAGGATTTTGGAAAAGTTACCCAACCGGTGTTCTTGAGAGAGCATGTTCTGGGATGTCTCGAGCTTATTGAAAGACTGGAAACGACTCTTGGGATCTTTAGGAGTGTAATGAAATGCTTGGAATTGCTTGGGAGATACTGTAAATAGAGTTTCACGCTTGCCCTAGTTATTGAGAATTTTTTATGATTCTTGGAGCTTGCTCTTGAGGTAGCAATTGGTGGTCTTGTTCACTGATGTTGTGTATATTTATAGAGGAAGAAAATAGATCTAGATAAAAGAGGAAAAGACCAAGTATTCAATGCCTTGCCAAAACACAAAAAAAAAATGTTTTCAAATATTCCATTTTGAGAAAATTATGTCCCAATCTTGCCTCCCACGGTTTTGGCAAGTTGGATATGTGTTCTTTGGCCTCAAATTTGATCAGAAACCAAGCCTACATGCCTTGGTCCATCATTTTTTATTTTATTTAATTTATTTTGTATTTAATTGAATAAAAATCAAAATAAAAAAAATCATGGTAAGGTATGAATGAGTTTAGGAGTCCTCTATAAGGTCAAGAACTTGTTTAGACCTTCGAAGATAGGTCCACTAGTCCAAAATTTCAAAATTGCTCAATTGAGGTTTCATGCATTTAAAAAAAAAATCAACTGGAACCAATCATATCTCACTCAATTTTTGTCATATTAAGGTGATCTTAGACTTTTTGGAAAGCTCAAGGTGTCCCCTACAACTCTCACGTTAGTCACTTTTTCATTTGAAATCCTTATATTGATGTAAATTGCTTTGACAAAAGATGACTTTTTGTTGACTTTCAAAATGACATGTAATGTCTTGACTCATCTCTCTCAAATGAAGCATTTTTTAGACTTGATCTTAAGGAGACAAAGTTGTAGAAAATTAAATTTCCTTCAAGATAGGATTTTTTTGAGAATTTTCTGATGAAACACGTGAAAGTTATGATTGGTTAAAGTTTAGTTGACTTCTCCTTAAGAAAACCCTAATTTAGTGACTTTTGACTTTTGATGAATCTTGAGTTTTCTTGAGGAATCATAATCGATTCTTGATCAAATGATGAATATGACCTCAAAATCTTGATGTTGACCAAAAATTTTGAAGTTTGTCTGTATGTTGACCATAATTGACTTTTTGTTAAATATAGTTGACTTTCACTCATCTGAGCAATTGACTAAGCAAACTTGTGATGCAAGGCTTGAAACTTGACATAAGGATTCTTTGAAGCATATGAGGACCCATTAGACTCACTTGAGGTATTATAAGCTCAATTTTCTTTGAATAAAGACAAACCCTAGTTGTAGACCAACTGTTTAGAAGGAGGGTTTGTCTGACCAATTCCTTGAGTAATCTTGAGTAATTGAGAATCCTAGGAGCATGAGGAGGTATCTTGAATCAATTATCTTCAAAAATTGAAAAAATTTAGGGGTACAACACAAGCTATGAAAACTGAGCTTGATGCTTTTGAGAAAACTGGTACTTGGAATTTGGTAGATCTTCCACCTAATGTGAAGCCAATAGGATGTAAATGGGTGTACAATATCAAATAGAAATCTGATTGTAGCATAGAGAGATTCACATCACGACTTGTTGCCAAAGGCTACAATCAAATTGAGGGATTAGATTATTCGAATACATTCTCACCAGTTGCAAAGCTCACCACAATCAGACTTGTTCTAACTTTAGCTTCCATTTATAATTGGCATTTACATCAACTTGATGTAAATAATGCCTTCTTACATGGAAAGTTAAATGAAGATGTATATATGGTCATTCCTCCTGGTGTTCACACCTCCAAATCCAATCAACTTTGCAAATTGGTTAAATCCATCTATGGATTGAAGCAGGATAGCCTCCAATGGTATGAGAGATTGGCTTCATTACTTATTCATCATGGATATTCACAAGCAACATTTGACCATTCCTTATTTGTCAAGAAAGCATCTTCCTCATTTACAACCTTACTTGTCTATGTTGATGATGTTATTTTAGCAGGTGACTCTATGGCTGAATTCTAACATATGAAAGCTATTCTGAATCAAGCCTTCAAAATCAAAGATCTTGGTGTGCTTAAATACTTCTTAGTCCTGGAAGTTGCACACTCATCACAAGGAATATCCATTTGCCAAAGGAAATATTGTCTTGATATATTGACTGGCATAAGATTCCTTGGCTCGAAACCTATTAATACTCCTTTTGACCTGTCTATCAAACTCTGCAATAACAATGGTCATGCCTTTGAAGACATTTCAGCTTACAGACGACTTATTGGCATATTAATCTATCTAAACACCACAAGACCTGATATCACTTTCATTACTCAACATCTTATAAGCCAATTTCTATCAAAACCATCCATGATAAATTACAATGCTGCTTGTCGTGTATTAATGTATTTGAAGCAACATCCAGGTCAATGGGCTCCTATTTCTAAGGCATTCCTCTATCCAAATCACAGGATTTTCTGATGCAGACTGGACGGGATGTATAAATACAAGGAAGTCTATATCAGGTTCTTATTTCTACATGGGATCATCCTTTATCTCATGGCGAACCAAGAAACAAACCACTGTCTCACGCTCTTCTTCTGAAGCTGAATATAGAGCATTGGTTGCGGCAACCTGTGAACTTCAATGGTAATCCACATTGCAGTCAATCCGATTTTTCACGAAAGAACTAAACACCTCGAGATTGGTTGTCACATAGTTCGTGAAAAGTTTAGCTGGTGTCATGAAACTCATTCCAGTATCCTCATGCAATCAAAATGCATATTTCTTCACAAAGCCTTTACTTCCAAAACCACTCCATGCCCTCATGTCCAAGTTGAACTTGCTCGACAATTACCAACGTTCATCTTATCGGAGGATCTTAACTTCCTCAACAGTTAGTTAATTTGGATGATGGCAGTTAGAGTTAGTTACTCACATTGTAATATTAGTTAGTAGCTAGCTAGCTTAACAACCTTGTATATATATACTACTATGCTTATCATTGAGACTATGAGGAATCCAATAATACTTTTTTCTTCTTTCTTATCTTACTCTTATCTCTCTATTTGCTTCTCTTGCACACAAGAATATGCATGCATTCACATATCATAATATAAACATTGGAGGACGATTCTCACAAACGATGCCAAATGATCAGACCATATATTTTCTCTCATGTGTTACTGATGGTGTTGTTGACAAACTTTGATACAAAACACCTTTGTAATACGCACTGTGGTAGGGAGTTTATTTACAAACACTCTAACAATTAAATTAGTGATGAATGTAAATATGTACTTTAGTCTGATTTGTAGTCTCGATTATGTCGTGAAATTTTAGAGTTTAGAGGTCTTAGAATTTTTTAGTTATATATTAAACTATGATTGTATAGTTTTTTTAAAATTTATTTTGGGCTTGTAGAGGGAGTGACAGTATAAATTCAACTTGTATATACTTTATTTAATTCTTAATTTCCAAATGAATAAATTTTTAATTTTAATATGGCATCGATATTTGTTTTGGTTGAGATGGCAAGATATAAAAGGCAATGCGAGAAAAGGGTATGCTTTAGACCAATTCAAATAAAAATGAATACATTACATATTGTTAGGCACCCATTTATATCTCTATATCCTATTTATTGTTTCTTTTTTGCATCTTTTATTCTTATCCTTTAATTTTCAATTTGATTTGTTTCATAATAACCATTGGGCTGTTTCAAACGTAGAAACGTTATTTTTGCTATTCCTAACTTCTTCATTTCACCCTCACATTTATATTTTTCTATAATTTCATTATTTTTCTTGTGAATTTACTAATTACTACTTTTATATATTAAAAAAATAATATCATAATTATTATCAATTGAAAACTTCTTTGTGCTTCTTTTCTAAGGTCAAAGAATCATATTCTTAACTTAGTAAGGATAATATTGTCTTTTGAAAAAAATGCATATAAAACTATAATCATTAGTTTAAGTTTCTTCACCATTCATTCATTTCTAACCCTTATTAAGAAAATACAGAGAGAAAATAATAGTGCATTTTTATTCTTAAGTTTCTTCTTTATCTTAATAACATTTGCATAATCAATTCTCAATTCTCAGTTACTATTTGGTATGTTTATTTTTTTTCTTATTTCTATTATTTTATTCATTTAGTATCATTCAAAAACAAAATTTGTTTCTTTTACCTTGCTTCTTCTTTATATTTCTTCAGTTTTTTTCCTTCCTTTTATATATACCTGTAAATTTATTATCTCTTTTTATCATCATTAAATAACCATATTAGTACAAAAATAAATATTAATAAATCATAATGAACATGGCAAATTCTAAATATTAATAAATTATATTCTCCAATCACATCTCTTCTTTATTCATCATCACTACAACACTAATTATGATTTCAATTTTGTTGGAGAATGGTGAAGAAGTTTCATTTTTCTTTTTACATCGAAACAATGTTGGTTAAGAGAGAATACAAAATATATTAATAAAGGTTCAAATTTGTATAAAGAGTTTTTCTCAAGATAATAAACACAAGTTCGGGACTGCAATTAAGGTGTGATTTGAAGTCTGCAACATAGATTTTTTATAATGTTGTCGAAATCGCAACTCGGTCCTGAATTATGTTTTTTTTTTTTTTTTATGTTCTGATACACTTAAATTGCTTCTAAAATATTAAATGTGTCAAAAAATATTATTAAATTTGTTGTGTTGATAATGGTATGATAGGATGATATTGAAGGGTTTGGAGTTTTTAATTAATGGCATCAACAACATGTTTTGTCAACAAGAATGCATTTCCTATGAAAGTGGTTACTCCTATCTTTCATTCATATCCTGAACCTCTTGCAAAATATGATGATGTTGTGGCAAATCCAAAGCTATTCATGGTTACTTTGGAGAAGCTTCATGCTTCTATGGGCACCAAGTTCATGTAAGTTCTCTTTTTATTCATCTTCAAATATTATGATTCTACTTTGCAATTATTGGCTAAGTTTGTTTTAAGAAACTACATATAAAAATGTGTTTGTATATCAACAACATTTTATTATTTTTCGAATTGTTATCGATGCTACATTAACTACACATCGCCATTTACTCTAAAGTTGTACCCAATGAAAATATTTCATGTAGAACTGAAAATTTATTTCAGGATTCCCATTATCGGAGGAAAAGAGCTAGATTTGTGTCGACTCTTCATTGAAGTTACTTCTCGTGGAGGGATTGAGAAGGTAATTAAGATGTCAAATAATTTTTTTGTGAATGTTCCGTTTTTAATATTACAGTCTAGTAATTTGATTATCAGAACAAATTATGTGCTGACGTCTCTGTATAGTTTTCATCTGAACTGATTTAACGGAATAATAATATCATTTTTATGATTATATAGTATCTTTATTTTTATAATTTTTGTTGCAGCTTATGAAAGAGAGAAGATGGAAAGAAGTAACAGCAGCTTTCAACTTTCCATCAACAGCCACAAATGCTTCCTTTGTTCTGAGAAAATACTATTCTTCATTACTTTATCACTATGAACAAATCTACTATTTTAGAGCCAATCGTTGGACACCTGCACCTTCTGGTTCGTGTATTTGTATCGAATTATTTATTTAACGTGAATTATTTGTTAATTAGTTAGGGTCATTATTGGTTATTCAATTATGTCATGCCCTAATTTTAAAAAATTGAAAATTTCAGTTTTTTTTGTTATTCAGATTCTTTGGATAATCAATCAACCATGACAATTCCTCCTTCAATCACACAGTTTTTGCAACCTTCTCCAGTAACACAATCAGTTATCTTTCAAAAATCAGGACTTAATAATGCTTCTGAATTGCCTCAAGGTAACTTTATTCTTTCTCTTGTAACAAAAATAGCTTATAAAGTAAGCACTTAATTAAATTATATGTTCTTCATTGTGTTATGCAGGTTCTTCACTCGCTGGAGTTATTGATGGAAAATTTGAAAGTGGATACCTAGTTTCAGTTTCGTTAGGCTCAGACATACTCAAAGGTGTACTATATGAGTCACCAAAGAGCATTATGATTAATAATAACAGTGTTGCCGGTACTGCATTGGGCGTTCAACGTCGCCGAAGGAGGAGGAAGAAGTCGGAGATAAAAAGGAGAGATCCTGCTCATCCAAAACCTAACAGAAGTGGTTACAATTTCTTCTTCGCGGAGCAACATGCTAGATTGAAGCTACTAAACCAAACCATGGACAAAGATATTAGTAGAATGATTGGTGAACTATGGAACAATTTAAAGGACTCGGAAAAAACAGTAAGCTTTTAGTTAAATTTTTATAACTTGTTTGAGTGAATGCACTGACGCTTCATATTGAAGACGTGTCTGAGAGAAAGTAAAAAAAAAAAAAATTAAGAAGATGAACCTAATCGCACTAGAAAAAATTAAAAATTATATCAGACAATTCATGTTCTGAACCGAACTGAACCACTTTTATTCAGTTCGGTTAATATCAATTCGTGAACTGTCTATCACAGTTTAGTTTGGTTTAGTTCAGTTTTTAAGCACAATATTTGATTTGGTGTAGCTTTTTAGTATATTTTACCGGTACTAGTTAATTTATGTTAATGTGTCAGTGTTATTATTGTATCAGATGTCTGAGTTCCTATACATGTTATTAATATGGTAAAGTTTCATTGGCATTAAGGTTTATCAAGAGATGGCTATTAAGGATAAAGAGAGATACAAAGCGGAAATGGACGATTATCGCGATAAACTAAAGACGAACATTGTAATCGATGATGCAATGCCACTGCAACAACAATTTCCAGAAGCAAATTCATCTTTGGTAGATGTTGACATAAAAATGCATGATTCATTTCAGACTCCAGAAGAGAGTAGTTCTGGTGGAAGTGATTATGTTGGAGATGATATCAACATGGATGGTTCTTCGGGTGGAGCAAGAGTTGATTCTGAAGCTTTTTTGGATTCGGAAAAGGTTTCAAAAGATGGAGTTATTGAAGTTGTTAGTCATTGTGAGGGAGAAGTGGATGCTGGAAGAGTTGAAGATCAACATAATCAAAAAATGAATGAGAATCAAAACATGTTAGCCTTACTTTAGTGTAGTTAATAATTAATTTTTTTTACATGTTAAAGTTTGATGTAGGATGTTTATTATTTCAATGCTTTTAGATTTTTGAAAGTGCAATTTCTATTACTTTTCAAGATTAATGACCTTCCTACCAAAAATAAAAAATAAAAGATTAATGATCTATTTGAATTGATTTATTTGAGCTTTATCTAAAACATAAACACATGTAAGATTGAATTTATTTATTAAGGATCTATTTTATTTTATTTTAATTATAAAAATAAATTATGCACAAAGACTTCTATAACAAATACTTATATTACAATTATTTAATAAAAGAGTGAAAATCCATTTTAGTCACTCACAAAAATTGTAGAATTCAAATTAGTCATCGACAAAAAAAAATGATCCTATTTAATCTCTTGCAAAATTTATCCGATTATATTAATCCCTTTATTAATATTTTTTTGAAATTAATTTTTTTAACTTTTAAATCATGACTGAACTGTTAAGTTGTATTTTATTTTATACCCTTATTGGACCGCAAGCCACATTCAATGCATTTATCACTATGGCAATATACTGATAAAATAATTTTCATGATTTATATTAATATTAAATAATTATGAATTTAAAATAAAATATAAAATTTGTATTTATGGGGTATCAAACTCAAGTCCCTTCAAATTAAAGGATAGTCATTTTACTGTAAATATGAAAATAATCTAGGGGGTGAATGAATTCAATTAATCGATATTAGTAAAAAAAAAATCGATTATGAATGTTACCAATGGTTTTCTTATTTTTACGGAACTGTTATGAATGTTAAAGCACTGAAAATAAATGCAGCAAAATAAAAACACTAATATATATATCTTGATTTCCCTTTCCAAACAAGGGTACTCCAGTCCCCTCACATCCTGTGAGAGATTTCACTATATCATATACGCTACAGTCAATCCACCTGACTCTAACATATCTGACATAGTAAAATCTCTTACAGGGTGTGAGGGGACCAGAGTACCCTTGTTTGGAAAGGTGAACCAAAATATATCTTGGTGTTTTTTATTTTTCAGCGCTTTAACGTTCATAACAATTTAGAAAAATAAGAATGTTGCTAACATTCATAATCGAGAAAAATTCACTAATACCGAATAATATAATTCATTAACCCCCTCATCTCTTAGATTACTTTTCACATTTACAGTAAAGTGACTACCATTTAATTTGAAAGGACTTGAGTTTGAGACCACATGGGTACAAATTTTATAATTTTTGTTTTAAATTCATAATTGTTTAATGTTACTATAAATCATGAGAATTATTTGTCACAAATATACATTACCCTAGTGGTAAAAGCATAGGACGTGGCTTAAAGATCGAACCAATTTTCTCTTTTTGATATTTTATGTTCTGGGCTGGGCCCACCTTGGCCCAAAGTGCAAATAAAGACCCAGATCCAAGCAGCTCCTTGGGAAGTGCCCACAATCAGATCATCATCGAACGTGTCCGACCACATACTACAGCTGCAATGCCCGTCGTTGCCCTCAATGAGCAGCGTCCCCGACCAGGAGAACTCCAGCTCGAGTCTGGCTCGAGCATCCTCCCTGTAGGGAAGATTTTGTCCACTCCAACCGCTATGGGATCCTCAAAGCTCCGGAAAGACCGCGTCTACGTTCTTCCTCATTCTTTGCAGAGCACCATCCAGGAAGGGGACCACGTGCGGATCCCCACTACACATGTAGAACCTGGCAGTCCCTTTATTGGGCCAGTTCTGGTCGGCCCAATAAGGGGACCTTGGCCCAGCGCTGGGGGCTATAAATATCCTCTACTTCAAGAGGATCAGGTATTCATTCATTACACACCTACGTATTTTTGCATGCTCATTCCGTCTCTCATTTTATAATCGGAGTGTCTTGCAGGTACCCCCCTCCCCCACTTCATCCAACTTCACTTCGAGCCAGCTGTGACGGTCCAAGTCTGATCCGGTAAAATCAGTGGCGCCGTCTGTGGGAAACTAAGCTCCCCCGTCTTACAAACTTTCAAAGACCAAAGCTAAAAATCATCTTCCACCGTCATGGCTGACCATATTCGGGATGACCAGAACATCTGCGTCGTCGATGCCAACAACAACCTCGCGGACAAGAACGGGGCCCCCGACAACACTGTCAACACCGGCTATAATATACTCCCCGGGGGCGTCATCCTCGGACCCTCAGGCCACCGGGATGGAGCCACTGCCTCATCTTCTTCAGTCCCCCCTCCGCTCGAAGAAGACAATACAACTCCCCCAAACCATCTAGTCGCCCAATTCCAGGAGGTCCCTGTCCCCGCCGGGGCAGACGCCACGACCAGAGCATTGTTCGCGGCAATCAACCAGACCAATTACCTCATCTTTTCTTAGGGGAAAAGATTGAGGGCGCTAGAGGATGACAGAAGACCCCCGAGGAGACACAGGAGGCCCCAGACCCCGCCTCCTCGAAGAATAGAGGTACGTCTCCCGTCTCCCCCGTGGAGACAATACAGAGACACCTCCCGAAGTCCATCACCCCGACAACCGGGGAGACGACCCCCCTTGGAGAGGGAACCAATCATCAAAGCCGGAGGGCGCAACTACGACCCTTTATGGCAAGAATGAGGACATCCTGGAGACAGACACGGAAGGACCGATCAACGAGCGCACCGCTCGAGGGACATCCAACACGACCATGGTCGTTGTGCCCGACAGTACCTCAGATCCCCGTCCCTTTCCCCAGAGCGAATTGACGAGGACGACCCTCGCGGTCCCCTGTCACAAGCCATCATGGAGGCACCTATCCCTCAGGCATGGAGAAGCTCCTTCACTTGAAGGAATACGACGAAGTCGCCGACCCGGTCGATCACATAGACGGGTTCGAAGCTATGCTGCACTACCACAACGTTGGGGGACCCATCAACTGCTGGTTGTTCCCCACAACCCTTAGGAAAGCAGCAATGGATTGGTACAAGGGTCTTTCCCCGGGGTCTATCACCTCGTGGTGAAACTTGAAAAACCATTTCATAAGCTCATTCACCGCGTCACAGCGACATTCAAAGACCGAAGCGGCGCTCGAGGCTATCGTCTAGAGGCAGGATGAAACCTTGAGGGAATTCATCAACCGCTTCAACTGTGAAGCCATCCAGGTCCCCTGTGCAGACCACATGAAAAGATACTTGCTGGAGAGGGGACCACTCCCTGGAACAGAGTTCAGAAAAGCAGTGGGCATCGAACCACCCCGAACGTTCGATGCTCTCCTCGAGAAGGCCAGGGCCTACATGGACTACGAGGAAAGGGAAGCGGCCAACAGAGCCCGTGACCCCGGAACTCACGGATCCAGCAGCAACCCGCGCCAAGAAGCTGTTCCTCCTCGACGGACCGAGGAGAAAATAAAAGACGACAAACCCCGAGAAGTCCGAGAACAGAGAGGGCCCTCAGGGCGTTTCACAGAGTACACTCCGCTCACGGCTTCCCGCGAGCGCATCTTGGCGGAGTGTGCTAGTACAGATTTTAAGGACGGTGGCGTCAAGTGCCCCCGACCAGCTCCTGCCAAGCCCGGGGTAGACAGAAGCAAATATTGTCAGTACCATAGGAGCCATGGTCATCTGACGGAGGACTGCGTCCACCTCAAGGACGCCATCGAGACCCTCATAAAAGGGGGGAGGCTCGCCCAGTACCGGCGAAACGACGCTCCTCGTCGCGATGCCCGTGAGACAAGGAAAGCAGAGGAAGATGCCCAACCATCTGACGAGTCGGTCCCCATCCAGACTGCCTTCTCCGTCACCAGACTTGAGGACTTTTACGTCCCTGAACACTTGCAAGAGCCACTGTCGATGCACAGCAGATGGGAGCACTTTCCCTCGGCCATGGTCATCAATGGCGGGGGTTCAACGACTTGACCATAAATTCAGCCAAGAGGAAGCTGGATGAATTGGTCGACTCTGCACCTCCTCAGACGGTGACCTTTGAAAGGGTGAAAGATAGATCGGAGCCTATCACCTTTTACCTCGAAGAACTCCCCAGAGGAGCCCCCAACGCGGTTATTCTGCTGCTAATAAGAGAGAGAATGGCTAACTTTGACGTACACCGCGTCCTCGTCGACGAAGTTTCATCGATGTAATATACAGTTAACTATTCTGAACCCTGCAGCTCGACGACTCACACCTCTCACCTTATGTGGGGTCAGACCTGCAGGGCTTCAACGGCTCGACCTCCAAACCTTGGGGATACGTCGAGCTCATGGTTACCTTTGGCAAGGACACGACGACCAGGCAGGTCAAGATACGCTTCCTCGTCATCGACTTCCTGTCCCTTTACAACTGCATTTAGGGAAGGCCAAAATTGGCAGAACTGACCGTGATACCCTCTACCGTCCACTTAAAGATGAAGTTTTACACCAAGAGGGCACAAGTCGCCACCTTCCAAGGTGACCTAGCAGCTTCCCGAAGATGTTTCAACGCGGCATCCAAGGGACACGACACGGTCGACACCGGGACAAGACCCGCCAAGAGACCAGCAACCATACGACCAGAGCCCGAGGAGACGGAGTCCGTCAAGGCAGAAGAGCAGAGAGCTCCCCCAAAGGTCGAATCTATAGTCCTGGACACCCGCTTCGACCAGGACGAGCCTCCCAGCGGCGAGCAAGTCACCCTCCGACCAATTCCTGACGGAGACTTCGAGCTCGTCCCCCTCCGCGAGGACGCGAGCAAAGGAGTGAAGATCGGTACCAGCCTCCCCAGCCCAACGAGGAAACATATCAAAGCCTGCTTGCGCGAGAATGCTGACCTATTCGCGTGGAGCGCTGCAGAGATGCCCGGACTCGACCCCGAGGTCACCTGTCACCGCCTTGCCATAGATCCATCCGTTAAGGCAATAGTACAACGTAGACGTAGGCAGTCCTCGGAGAAAACGGAGGCTGCTGAAAAAGTTGTAAAAGACCTCTTAGAGGCAAAAAAAATTTCTGAAGCCCGGTATTCAACCTGGATGTCAAATGTTGTACTAGTCAAAAAGAATA